CCGTTTCAAGACATTTGGGGGCCAAGGCAAAATGCCCCCCCCCCCCCCCCCCCCCAATAACTGGGCTCCCCAGAAGCCTCTGTGTAATCCATACCCTCTCCAGTAGTGTTAGTTTTACAGTGTTTATAAAAGCCTCTCAGACATTACTGACATGTTCAAATATTATCAGATGAAAAACTAAATGATCAGACATGCTGTCTCATCTGCTTCTTTTCTAAACTTGCAGAAAGTAACAAAACCATTTGAAAGCCACTATTTGTGGATTCTCTGAAAGTTTCCATGGAGTGTGTGACAACTTATTTTTTCAGTCATTTTTGGAAATAGTGATCAATTTTGATTAATTCACAGCCTATGTTTAATTACATTTAAAAATTAGTTGTTTGACACCCCAGCTATAATAAATGTCTACAGATGAGATCAAACAAAATAGATGAGAATTGCCCTTAAGCTGTTTAACTTGGACCAAGCATTTTAGGTCACAGATAGATGTAGCTTAGGGTCTCTGTCTATACACCTTATAAGACAATTTAGGTGATGGCATGTTGTTTTTCTGCTATTGAACTGTTTTCTAATAATGTTGTGTTAAATAAAGTGAAGGAAGGAGAGAAATAATGTTTCCCTAGCAGTTTTTAAAAATGTCCCCATGTAATCCGATTAATCGATTAATCGTGTCGAGACCCCATCCGATTAATCGATTATCCAAATAATCGTTTGTTGCAGCCCTATTAGCAGGGAAAAGTTAGTCGAGGGTCCACCTGCTTGCTTAGTCACGGGAACACGCATTGCTCAATACAGCAACTTATTGAGGGAGTAAACAACTTAATAAATATTCTCATAATATAAACACGCTTTTTAACAGTGTACTTCCTAAGTAAGTGAAAGAGAAACTTGAAGTACAACTTGAATGTGCTTTCTTCTTATTTTAATGCTTTCCTGAAAAATATCGCATTGGGACTCTGTCAAATTACTTTGAATCGGATCGGGAGCAAAAAAAACACTTGATCGGAACATCCCTTGATGATCAGGATTATCTCTTCTTAGATCGCCTCTTGATTTGAATCAAAGGCACTTCAGCTTTCCAGCTCACAGACACAAGTGTTCACTAGTGAGCACTAGTGTCTGTAAATGGAGATGAGAACTGAAAATAATGATTCTGGCTAAACACAGAGACACTCAGCAGTCTCCGTTCAAAGTGTTCTCATTGGTCCATTCAGAGGAAAGCAACAACTTAACTTTAGTTCTGGTTCATTTTATTGGTAGACCTGGCTGAAGTCCTGGAACAGAAGCCAGCGAGAAGCAGTCAGATTCTCCTTCCTTCATGATGATGAAAAAATATGGTCCAGAACAAAAAGTTAAGCGCTCTCGCTCGGCTGCATCGTCCCACCTTTAATGTTTGGTGACAAGGGAGGGTTCACGTCGGGTCAAAGGCCCATCACATCCCATCCTGCTCAGGGCTGAGTGTGTGTCAGTCTGTGAAAAAGTGTGTGTGCTCTGTTTGTTTTGCCAGCAGGCTGAGTCAGTCTAAACAAACATTTTAATAGAGTGACTTATTTATGATCCGTGTTGGAGGACGTTTCAGTGTGTCGCTGTTCCTGCACGGCCCCCCAGCACACATCAGCCAAGTCAGGAACATGTTACATAATGCACTTTATTCTCTGTTGGTGTGTGTGTGTGTGGTTTGAGCCCCCTCCTCTTTCCAGATGTCAGATGTTAAGTGATGTTGAGACTGTTCTGTACACACACACACGCACACGCGCACACACACACACGCATGCACACACACACACACACACGCACAGTGACCTTATGCTTAAAAGGTCTCACTGTTAGAAAACTAGAAAGAGGACATTCAAAGAGAAGAAACTGAAGAACAATGAAGAAAAACAAACTGAAATGGAGGAGGGGAAAACAGGTGGACAGTAGAGTGAGAGAAAGAAAAACGAGGAGTCAATAAGAGGAAAAAGAGCTAGGGGGCGTAGGAAAGAGGAGGAGAGTAAATGGGTGGATGAAGAGAAATGAGGAGAAAAGACGAAGCAACTGGAAGTGCATGCTAGATAGGGTTAGGTACGGTGGTTGTGGGGGACTAGAAAGAGGAGGAGGAGCTAAAGAAATGAGAAACACAAAATTAAAGTAAATTATACACACACAAATACATACAGATGTATGCAGATGTGGACAAATTTGTTACCCTTTAGTCAATGAAAGAAAAACCCACAATGGTCACGAAATAACTTGAATCTGACAAAAGTAATAATAAATAAAAATTCTGTGAAATTTAAAATTCAGGAAATGCTTTTCTATCATGCTTGAATGGAATTCTTAAAAAAATAAAATAAAAACTCATGGAACAGGCCTGGATAAAATGATGGTACCCTTAGAAAAGTCTGGAAATAATGTGACCAAACGGAGACGTAAATTCAAAGTGTGCCCACTAATTAGCATCACAGGTGTTTACGATCTTGTAATCAGTCAGTGGGTCTATACATGGGGCTCCAGGTAGTCACTGTGTTGTTTGGTGACATGGTGTGCACCACACTCAACATGGACCAGAGGTAGTGAAGTAAAGAGGTGACTCCAAAGACTACAAAAGACAATTATAGACAAGCATGTTAAAGAGCTAAAACAAATCTTCGAATGGTTCGATTCATTAAATTTCTCTACTCATTTTTTAATTATTCGAAGCTTTGCTAAATGTGTGCTAAATGGGTTCAGGAAATACACGATGGTTGTGAATGACTAAACTCTACAAGTGGAAGAAAAATGCTACAGTGACCTACACTATGGAAAAGCTGAGTAGCACCACAGTCCCATTCCTCGGCATGGAACCCCTTCTCATGCTGCAAAACAACATTAAAAGCACAACCAGAACACTGAACAATAGACTCAACATCCACACGACCCTGGCAATAAAATCTTGACAAACCACTGGAAAACAGAACAAAATAAATAAAAACCTATTACCACACCTACTAGTGTGCAACTCGCCTGCTGCCTGTTCCACAGTGGGCAGGGTCACTACAATAGTCTCGCCACCGCCCATTGATGGCTCTCAGTCATGGATCAGAGCTCTCCTCATGCTACTAGACAACAAAGTCACATTTTATGCAGATTTTTTTCTTTGATAAATAAAAGGCAACAATGATAATTGGCATTAACAAAAATCCATTCAGAAAATGAAAATTACACTGTAAAAAGAAAGATGTGACCACCTGAAAAGTCTTTGCTTGGTGAGTACCCATCGAGGATATCCCCTTTAAAGTGAGAGTCAAAGCATAGGTGGAGACGTATTTCATCCACACTTCTTGTTGGGAAAGCGCCTCTGAAAGAGGTGGACCGAGAGAGCGGAACTGAGGCAGTGATAGACTGCACCCCCCTCAACATTTAATAGACTTAAATGGTGTTTTTAAGGGGAAGTATTCCAAGTATTTGGAATTCAGTACCAGGATTACTGGGAACTCTTCTATTCAAATAACCCTATCCCCTGAGATTTCTAACCGAACTAGTCAGCGCTTCACAGCGTACGTCTCACACACACACCGGAATGCTGAGTTTCTAATAAACAACGAAGATGACACCTGAAGCGGAGTTCGCTGCGGCTCTTTCTTCTGCTCTAAATGACTTGAACATGTCTGTAAAACCACAAAAAGTAGAACCGTTAAAAGCTTTTCTTCTAAAGAAGGATGTTTGCACCGTCGCCAGAAGCCATTTTTGACTAAAGCTAGAAAACGGCAACGTCTCGGGGTACAGTCGGCATTTCTGCCTATTTTCTGATAGGTTATTTTTGAGCTGGCTAGTCCCGCCTCTCATGTTCCTCTCTGCCTGTGAGTAACCAGGCTAGTTCTATGAGTACAATTAAACAGAGCTCGAGTCTCGCAGGCCAGGTTACCACTGTTGTGCCATTCATCCACGACCCTCACCTCATGTTGCAGCATGATAACACACGGCCCCATATTGCAAGGATCTGCACATACCAATTCCTGGAAGCTGAAAACATCCCAGTTCTTGCATGGCCAGCATACTCACCAGACATGATGTCACCCATTGACCATGTTTATACAACAGCGTGTTCCAGTTCCTGACAATATTCAGCAACTTTGCACAGCTATTGAAGAGCAGTGGACCAACATTCCACAGGCTTGTTAAAAAAACTTAAGGAGTGTTGCTTCGACTGCAATAAAAAGCAAGTTATGTCCAAGATAAACGGAAGTCCACGGCAGCTCAGAGACCGCCCTCATTTCCCCTTTATACTGCTATCACATAATCTTTTGTGACCAAAGCCTACTGGTTGTGCATTGCACCAGGCTAAAGACCAAAGGTGACGGATCATTTGCTGCTGTGGCCCCCAGACTATGGAACTATCTCCCCCTGAGCCTGAGATCAGTGGACTCAGTGGTCTCCTTTAAAAAGCAGCTGAAGACTCCTGTTCAGGCTTTTCTATGACCTTCTCCATCACTCTCTCCTTGTTCTGCTCTCCCTACCTATTCCACCTTCCTCAGGATCCACTGATTTCACTCTTTACTATTCATAATCTCTTTCTTTACATTTTTAATCACAATTGTCTATTTTTGCTCATTTGAAACATATATTAATAATTTTCTAAATTATTTTTTATATTTACATTTTTTTTGTTTTTGTGAAGCGCCTCCTGATTTTTATCTTGAGAGGCGCTATACAAAAGATCTTTTTTTCTTCTTTGTTTCTTCTAATAATCAGAAATAATCATTAAAATGGTTTTTGAGTGAACCACACATTTAACTTCCTTATTTTTGTTATAAGGACCCTTCAGAAACATTTCTGATTCACTGTCAAAAGAAAAAAAATCTCCAATAACCCTCCTAAAACCTCACAAACTGTTCAGATTCCCAGAGAGGAGGATTATCAAACCTCCAATGTTCAGAATCCAAACTGGAACCTGAACAACTCGCTCTCTGTTTCTTTAAACATGGAATCAGAACCAGGGAGGAATCCATGGTGTCAGGATGGAAGGAGCAGAACATTACCTTCTGAGACGTAAACAAAAGGCTTGTTCCTGACGGACAGTAGAGTCAGAAGGTTGAAAAAGAGTGCAATGAAGGTCCCCACCAACAGCCGACCACTGGGGATGAAAAAAAAACACATAATCACAAACATTTAAGTAAAAATGCGTTCCATTTGTTTTAACTCAGCTTTTGTATTTTTTAAATTGCAAAAACAATAAACCAAAGACTTTTCATGTTTGGTCTTACCAGCTAATTAGATCCAAAAACACTTTGAAAGGTGTTCAAAATTACTTCTCGGATAGAGAAAAAATAAGAAAAACAAAGGTGAACTATATGCTAGTCATCCAGATCACGGTAATCCAAAAGGGTTCAGATGAAGGCAACTGGACAAGAAAACAAAGAAGTCCAGTTGATTTAATTTGAATCCTTTTGGACACGTGATCTATGATACCCAAACTGCATTGTGTCAATATGCTACGGTACACGAGTAAATAACTTTGTAGAATACTCAAAAGTTTAGGCTGCAGCAGAATTCTAAAACCAATATACAGACAAGGGTGAAAAAGATGACCCCCCCCCCCCCCCCCCCCCCCCCCCCCCCCCCACACACACACACACACACACACACTCCTAGAAGGTGAACCTGCTGCAGATATAAGTACCAGTAATTCTGGACATTTTAGATTTAAAAGCATCAACTTGATGTACTTTGTGGAAGAAGCAGGCCTTGCAGGCCCATATGAGCATATGGTAAAGTATCTAAACATACTTAAGAGTAGGCGTTAGAAGAAATGAGACTACCCTCTGTACTGTATAACGGGGGGGGGGGGGGGGGGGGGGGGGCAAACCTGATTTACCATTTCCTAACAACTTTCCGCTCCTCCTGAGAAGAGGACAAGGCTGGGACATGTGTAGCCACAGTTCTTTATGCCGCTAAAATTATATTCCGTTGAAAGGTCTGGGTTGCTCTCCCAACGAGAGGTTAATTTAGCATGAAGGCTGGACACCTTGCTGAACTGCTGAATATAGGACATGTTCCCTCTTTTAAGAGTTCATTGTTTATCATTTTTGGACCAACCAGATCTAGAGAGTGTAGGGGCGTTCACCAAGATTTCTCAGACGTCACACTTTATTCTCAGACACTTAGAAAAGCTTATTTCACTTAATGTGAAGTAAGTTTGTTAAATAGTCATTTGTTAATACTGAAATTAATATGTGACATAACAAATAATAGATCATTATTAAATCATCAAGTAGACTTGTTTGGTGTATTTAAGATCTGAAATAAGGCATTTCAAAAATATCCATTTATGTTGATTCATTCATTACTGTAAAGCAGTCAAGACATTAAATCACTTTAGATAAAACATTCATTGTAGATAAAACAGAATATGATTGCAATCCACATGTAAAGTGAAAGAAATCATTTTATGAGACAGAATATAAGATTATTTTATTAGAGTTGAGTCTCGTGTCCTGGAGGAGACCTTGTGAGTACAGATTGTGAAGCAGGAGAGAGGTTGTTATGACGACGTATCCCGATGGCCAGGGTAGGAACGAAAAAACAGGGGACTGTTTAGGAATGAAGAAGCACACAATAATCCAGGCAGATGAAACTGGCCGGACACTTAATGTCTGATGCCTTCTGCCCACTGGTAGGGCAGGACGTTGACAAATGTCTTAACCTTTGCATTACATGGCCTTCTCCTACACCATACTTCTCATCCGAGGAGCTTTGTAAATTCTAATTGGAATATGGTAGAGCCATGCTTATAAGCTGCAACTGTCTATTGTTGCTTAATGAGCAGAAACTACTCTGAAAACCCCTACTCCCTACCCCAATGAGTCATTGGCCTCTATTGTGGGGGGCTTGTGGTGATTAGGTGCAGGAGGTTGTGACCTAGACAGAAACTGTTTGGGGATTAAATTCAGAGCTGCACTATAGGTACTGGAAAGGTGAAACCTAAGCAAAGCTGCATGTCCCAACACAGACAGGAAAGGAGGAGATGGAGTTTGAAAGACAGCAGCAGCTCAGTTTTACAGAGAAAGAATGGAAATGTGAGTTGGTAATTATTTTCTCCCGGAAGATAATTGCACTCACCTAAAGGATTATTAGGAACACCATACGAATATGGCGTTTGACCCTCTTCGCCTTCAGAACTGCATTAATTCTACGTGGCATTGACTCTACAAGGTGCTGAAAGCATTCTTTAGAAATGTTGGCCCACATTGATAGGACAGCATCTTGCAGTTGAAGTTGTGGGATGCACATCCAGGGCACGAAGCTCCCGTTCCACCACATCCCAAAGATGCTCCATCAGGTTGAGATCTGGTGACTGTGGGGGGCCATTGTAGCCATCAGAGGATGGGTACATGGTGGTCATTGTAATGATTTAAATTACATGTTATTTAATAAGCCATAAGGCATAGGATTCCATAGTAAATATGAAATCAACCTTATGGATCTGTGAGGATATTTTAAACCAGAAGATTGGAACTTTTTAATGCAGAGATTAGATAACAGCTTCGTATTAACTCAGAGACAACAGAAGAGAGAGTGTCAAGTTGGAAGGTTTAAAGATTTATTAAAAACAAATTAAACTAGACTAACTTTAAACACTAAATGTATGGCGTAACTAAGGTGGATGAGAAGGAGAATGGGATGAGGTGTAATGCTGCTCATAACCAGCAAATCCAAAGAAGCTACTAGTTCTGATGGGAACTGAAGGTGATGTCTTCGCGTTAAGATTTTATTAGGAGATTCATAAACACATTCAACGCTATTTGCCGGTCTACGTACCCTGAGCGGAAGTCTCCATCTAGATCAGGAGGTGTAAAGGTCCAGCTTGACCTTATGGAGCCGAAGACTGTAGAAGCAGCCACGGCAGCCGACCACCCGTCTTAAGATACTCCCGGGTCACAACTATATTGTTGGAATCTGGTGAGACCCAAACCTGGGTCTTGATGGTTCAGCTTTTATTCTGAAAGGAACCATTGCAGCAGTTGGAACAGCAACAGATTTTATCCAGCTTGTCGTTGGTTCTTTTGGCTGAAGAGGAAAGTTACGGATTGGCCACTCCGACACTTTTCTAGAATGCTTTGAACTGGCGTTAGAGATGACGTGGGCATAGTTTTATACTTTGGATGTTTTGGTTTATGGTCGAATGAAAAGTTGACAGAGTTACCGAACACCACCAAAACCACGCCTCCGTCAGATCTGGCAGATTCTGATTGGATCAGTGAAAGTAATGTGTCATGTATTTTAACGCTACATGAGATCAGTACTATTGGAACATTTAAAGTCATATTACTCATCATTTTCTAAAGGATTATAATAAAGTAATTAATATTTTGATTTCACAGATTGGTCACATCTTATTTATTGACTAACACTTTGCGTGATTAGCTTATTAAAATAGAGTTCTTTGATTAATTAAAAGGAGAGAGTCCATTCTTCATTCTTCTGTTGAGCTGAAAAGAAGCAGTTTATACGCAAATGCATGAGACCTTGAAGCCATATCTCATACAGATTAGTCCTGTGTCAGAGGAGAGGGGGACACAGTCATTTCATTCCGTTACATCATGAAGGGGTGGACATGGTCAGAAACAATGCTCTGGTAGTCCGTGGCATTTAAACGATGCCCAATTGGCACTAAGGGGCCTAAAGTGTGCTAAGAAAATATCCCCCACACCATTACACCACCACCACCAGCCTGCACAGTGGTAACAAGGCATGATGGATCCATGTTCTCCTTCTGTTTACTCCAAATTCTGACTCTACCATTTGAATGTCTCAACAGAAATCGAGACTCGTCAGACCAGGCAACATTTTCCCAGTCTTCAACTGTCCAATTTTGGTGAGCTTTTGCAAATTGTAGCTTCTTTTTCCTCTTCGTAGTGGAGATGAGTGGTACCCAATTCAATTCAATTCAATTCAATTCAAAAATACTTTATTAATCCCAGAGGGAAATTAGAGTTTCAGTACACACAATTCTGAGATCAGACATACATACATAGGCACAAGAATTGATGACTGTGGTCATTCACAACCCGAGTCGCGCTACCTTAACTCATTCACTGCCAGCCATTTCCTGATCGCTAACGGCCTTCGCTGCCAGAGTTTCGCACTATTTTTACTGTTTTTTTTAAGAGTCACAGAACATTGCACGCTAGGATGATGTTGACGCCAAAACAACCAAAACAAAGAGGAGACTCGCCTCTTACATCAGGAAGAATCCGCGTGTTTCGAGAGTTATCCGTTCTTTCATAATCCATTGTCGAATTGTGATCAGCAGACGCTTTTCCGGTTCGCACCTCACTTTTTTTTACAGGAACGGCCCAAAACAATCTCCTACCACATGGAAGTTCTGCTTCCTGATCACGTGACATGTGACGTATGCGGATGAAGAGCGGCTTTAGGGCTGAGATGTTTGTTCTCTCAGCGCGGGGGCTCGTTCCGATGCTCAAACAGTAAAAAAAAATGCCAATGACGACTAAACGGTTGGATCTAAAATGACGACTTTGAATCAGTCGGGCCCATTCTCCTCTAGCATCAACAAGGCATTTTTATCCCACAGGACTCTCTGCATACTAGATGTTTTTCCCTTTTCACACCATTCTTTGTAAACCCTAGAAATGGTTGTGGGTGAAAATCCCAGTAACTGAGCAGATTGTGAAATACTCAGACCAGCCAGTCTGACACCAACAACCATGCCACGCTCAAAATAGCTTAAATTGCCTTTCTTTGCCATTCTGACACTCAGTTTGGAGTGTGATTGGTTGATTAGATAATTGCATTAAGGACAAGTTGAACAGGTGTTCCTAACAATCCTTTAGGTGAGTGTATATTTTTCCTAGAACGTTAGGGTGTTTAAACAACGATGTGATTGATGAACACTAACGTTACTAGCAAACATGATGTACTTTTCAGCAACAGACTAAAGACAGTTTGACACCAAATAGGTAAAAAAGGTTGTTGTTAAAGAAAACCTATTTTTTTTTACTTGAGCCACATGACTATAAAATTATGCCGTGGATAGGATTTTAAATCCTTCATGTGTTGGTGGACTTGAAGCCTCTTCAACTACTGCTGAGAGGTTTCTGACATATTTTATAG